TATGGTGAATAATGTTGCTATGAACTTGGTGTACAAGTCTCCATTTGTTCCTCAGTTCTCATTTTCTTAGGGTATATTCCAAGCAGTAGAATATCTGGGTCATATGGAATTTCTGTGTTCAGCTTTTTGAGGAAATGCCAAACTGCCTTCCAAAAGTGGTTGTATCATTTTATAATACCACCAAGAATGTATAAGGGATTCTCTCTCTCCATATCCTCTCCAATATTTATTACTTTCTGCCCTGCTGAACTTTGCCATTTGTTAATGGAGTGAGATGGTATCTCATTATGGTTCTGATTTGCATCTCTCTTAGTGTCAGTTATTTTGAGCATTTCTTCATGTTTCTGTTTGCCATCTGAATGTCCTCCTCTGTGAAGTCTTTCCTTGTCTTTTGCCCATTTTGAATATGGTTATCAGTCTTTTTCTTCTGGTGGCCCTGTAGGAGTCTCTAAACTTTCATGATGAGACCCTTGACTGAGATAGTGTTGCCAAATGTTTGTTCCAAGTCAGTAGGTTTTCTTTTTACTCTTTTGGAAAAGTTTTTGATGAGCACAGAGATTGAATCTTTGGAAGGTCCCATTCATCAATTTTATCCTTTTCAGATTGTATATTTCTGGCTGTATTTGATTGTCCTTTTATACCATAGACTAGGCAGTCTAAGCTTGGTTCCAGTTTGTCTCTTATGAGCTTTATAGTTTTGGGCTTTATTCTGAGGTCTCTGATCCACTTTGAGCTGATTTTTGTGTATGGGAGATGTGGATAGTGTTACAGCTTTCTGCAGGTAGCAATCCATTTCCACCAGCACCATTTGTTGAAGAGGTTGTCATTTACCCATATGATAGGTTTTATTTCCTTGTCGAATATCAATTGACCATAGAGTAGATGGGTTCATTTCTGGGTTCTCAGTTCTGTTTCACTGGTGCCTGTCATTGTACCAGTACCATGCTATTTTGGTTACGACTCTGTGTAGTAGATTTTGAGGTCTGGCAGTGCCATGCCTCCCACTTCATTTTTTCTTTTTCAGAAGTGCTTTGCTTATTCTGGGTCTCTTTCTTCTCCAAATAAACTTGACAATTTTCCTTTAATTCTCCTTGAACAATGAATTAGGTATCTGTATAGGGATTGCATTGAACATGTAGATTGCTTTTGGTAGGATTGTTATTTTCTTTTTGGGGTCTAGTCTACTTGGTGTTTGCTGAGTTTTCTGAATGCAGATTACCTCGTTCTTCATAATACCTAGAAAGTTTTCTTTTAGTACCTCTTCCACAATTTTCTTAGTGATTTCCTTAGTCCTCTCATACTCTGAAATTCCAATCATATATATATTATTCCTGTTTATGTCATCCCATGTGATTCTAAGTTTATGACAATAGGCTCTGACTTTTTTTGTCTAGTAATGTTTCCATTGAGGTTCTTGTTTTCCAGCCCTCTGACTTTGTGCTCTACCTCTTCTATTTTATGTCCTTCCAGTGTGTTGGACACTTCTGCCATTTCAGTCTTAATGCTCTGGATTACATTTTCATGCCATAGTACTGTTTTGGCAGTATCCTCACTATCTTGTGATGATTTTTTAAGTTCTTGTATCTCTTTTCTATAGTTTCAATTCTTTCTCCCTGCCCCCTTTTTTTTTAATTTTCTTCCGTGTTTGTGCAAGTTCCCCTCATCAATATACTTATTCTGGCTCCATGTCTCTGGAGCATTTGCTTTCTTGTTTTCCATTGCTTCTTCCATAATTTGCACCTTCTTCCTTAGCTGTTCAAATAACTATTCATCAATATTTTTTTTTCTGTTTCTCCACCTTGAGGTTATTCCCTTTATTTGTGGATTTCATTGTTTCTTCCATCATTTGTACTTTTATTCATAGCTGATTGAAGATCTCCATATCAACATAAATCATCTACCTTCTTAACTCTGAGGTATTCATGAGGTCTCTGTTATTCTCTACTTTTTGGGGGGAGAAGGCTTAAATATTTTTTTTCACAGTGTTTGAAGCTGCCTGTTGTCTTGACATTATGTGAAGTTTTTCTTGATAAGTGTTAGTTCATTTCTGTTGTGTCTGTGAAAGTTGTTAGTCTTTCTTGCTATTATAATGTTACTAATTAGTTGCCAAGTTAAAATGTGGTGAGCTACTCACTCCACTGTAAGTCCTTTTGGGGGAAATTTGCCTTTCCTAAAGACCTTGAGGTTCTTTCTGTTCTGCACTGCATCTTTGTAGGAATCTTTACTTGAAGTAGTCCCCTGACACCAAATTTATAGGCCTCCCTCATGTATGAAGTGGCTTAGTGGTATGAGATCAGGTGCCCTGCTCAAGCAGTTTCTCATGCACATTTTCTCCTGCAGCTTAATGTCTTTTGTCTCTCTAGTGGCATGAGATTAGAGATCAGGGCTGCCAGCTCAAGCAGCTTGTGTGCAGGGGTTCTCAAGTCATCCTTCCGTCTCTCTCATAGAGAGCTACAAAAATCCCTTCCCTCTACAAAAATCCCTTCCCTCTTCCTTATGTACTGTATACTAAAGTCTCTTGTCCTGTTTAGCCCCTGGGATGTCCCTGCAGCCACAGAAGCAAGAGCCCCAGATGGAGGGACCTATAGCACCAGGGATGCCTCAGTCTTGTCTCCCCACAAGCAATGGAGAGTGCTCACTTTCTGCACATAGTCCCACCTCTCCTGACCTTTTCTCCTGCTGCTTGGTGTCCTTCTTTGTCTCTGGTATGGTAGAAGATCATTAACCTCCACTTAGGCTGCCTGTACGCAGGGTTTAGAAGGTCAGCCTTCTTTCACTGAGAGCCACGGAAATTCTTCCCCTACCCAAAGTTCCTTTTTGGCCCCTGGGTTGGCCCCGCAGCCGCAGAGGCAAAGATCCCCAGATAAAGGGACCCAAAGCACCAAGGAGACCTCAGTCCTGTCTCCCCACAAGCTTTTTCCTTTTTTTTAAAAAATGATCGATCTAGCTAGAGATTAGTCAATTAATGATCTCCAGAAAAAATAAACTTTTGATTTCTTTTTTCTCTTACATTAGTTTTCACTATGACTTTTTTTCCCCTCTTCTTAATCTAAACTTGATTTCTTCTTATTATTCTTGTTAAGACAATTTTAGCTTGAGACTTTTTTTTCTATTGACATTGTGTTAGTGGATTTCCCTTTATGCTTCTTTAGCATCATCACACAAATTGTAGTTGATATATTTTCATTTTGCCTCAGTTGAAAATATTTTCATTTTTCCCTTTAAATTTCCTCTTTGAATCCATGGGTAACTTCAATGTGTTGATTGCGCTTTCATATTATTTTTCTGTATTGTAGTATGTACTATGGACATTTGAAATAATGGCATAGTCTACTGTTGTTGGGTTGAGATATTTATATATATGATATATAAATATATAAATCTGATATGTAAATGTATAAATATATCAGATTCAATTGGTTGATAATACATGGCTTCCATAGTTTCTCTGAAGATCTTCTCCATGTAAGTCAAGTCCAAGAGAAAGAACATGGAGAAGGGTAATTGAGAAGCTTTTGTGACATCACTTCCACTCAAATTCCAGTGGTTATAACTCAGTCGCATGGCTTCACCTAATGGTATGGGAAGCTGAGTAATGTAGTTTAGCTTTTTGCCTGGCAAGAAGAGCAAAATGTATTTGGAAAAGCCAGGAGTCTCTTTTTATTCTCTTGAAGAACTTGTATAAGATAAGAAATACTTGAATCATGGGTATACAGTAGAAATTGTAACATTTTGGGGGCCTAATTTTTTTTTTCTTAGTGGGAAATTTTTATGACTATTGATTCCGTTTAATGGATTTATTTAGGTTTCTGTTCTTTTTTTCTTTTCATTTTCTACTAGTTTATTTACAAAATTTGAATACATTGTTTTTAAGAACAAGAGTCTTTCAATTTCCCTCGCTCTGCCCCCAATCAAA